GTATTTGCTTTGCTAAATAAAACAATACAATACAATACATTCGACTGATAAATTTATCCAATCATTTAAATGATGAATTTACCCAATACATTCAACTAATACATTTAACTAAAACAGTTAACTGATAAATTTACAGAATACATACAACTGACAACTTACTCAAAACATTCAATAAATAAAGTTAACCAAAACATTCACCTGATCATTATGCAATATATTACAATTTGCGATGCCATCTACACATGTTAAAAACTTCTTCGAAAATTGAGTAGGTAAGGGATGGTATTTTGAAATAAAGCAAAACCTTACTTCCTGGATCAAATCGGAGACACTCTTCAAGGTGATTTAGATATGAACAATTTTAGCATAACTAATTTAAAGTCTCCGGAAAACGATAATGACGCTGTTCACAAGAAATATTTAATGGAACAATTAAATTCAATTGAAGTAAATAACGAACATTTAAACGAAAGAATAGGCGATGTGAAAAGATTCTTCAAACGTCAACTAAATAATAAAGATTTTAATGATGATACTAAATTACAACAAGAAGTAACAAGTTTAAAAAGTTTTATTGAAGAACAATTAGTCAACGTATCGAATAAAACTGAGTTAATTTCATTAATATCTACATTAGAGGATAATATTGCAAAACAAAAATTAGACATTCAACAATTAATAGATAACATTCTAGGTGAAAATGAAGAAACATTTCAACAGGAATTAAATGATCTGGAAACTAAACTTAACAGTGAATTACTAACAAATATTCAACAACAAATACAAAACATTGATGATAGTGTTATTAAACAACAGATAACCACTATTAATAACCTGGTTTTAAAACAGGATAAAAATATACTCGCATTAGAAAAAAAGTTTCTCAAGAAAGAATCATATTATTTCAATCTTCCATTTAGATATTTGAGACGTGACGATGCTTCTATTACTGATAATATTGATGCATCAACAGAGATTGATTATAAAAAATTTTGATTTACAGCAAATATTAGACTATATTCTGTTCCAAATTATACTATTCTCCCCTATAATATTTTTGATAAAGATGATGATAATGGTTTTTATTTCAAAGGAAAACTTGTAATTGAAATAACATTTCTTATACAGCTAAAAGTTGATTCATTATTCTTCAGATAAAACTTTCAAGCAATTAAAAGATTAAACGTTAAAAAAGTTCTTCAGTTTATCAATGGTAGAAAAATTGTAGAAACTAAAGAATATGAAAGTAACGACGAAAACAACAAGGTTGATCACTTATATGAAATTAAATCGAGTGGAAACTATATAGATAGGTTTAGAATGTTAATCATACCAGATAATGAAGAAGATTTTCTTACTTTGAGTGATTTTGATATGATAATGGAGACTGAAACTCCACCATCAACGAATATTATTAGAAATCCAGAACCAGAAAAAAAAAGATATAAGCATTTATCAGTTTTTACGAGCAACAGACTTTGAATACGTAAAACTATATTTTGTTGATAATGATATATTTACCTCAATTGATATTCATAAAAGTCAAGATAATATAGTTTTTATAATGCCAACAATAAGAGATGATGTATTTGTTAAAATATTTATCTCTATTGAAAAACCAAAATTTTCAGTTCATCTGAATAAGATTAATGATTCGAAAGAACAAATATCGTTAGTAACTGTAAAAGTTTTTATTGAAGATAGTAAACACATAGCAGGTTTATCAGAAGTTCACTTAATTTAATTACCTAAAAATGGAACTCGAAAGTAGACAAAACTACATGATAGAAAAACAAAACGAACTAAAAGAAAAACTAAAACAATTCAACAAATGTAGAAAAACATGGAGTAAAATCGATTCTGTTTTCAAAACATTAAATACAGTTTTAACAATAGGGATAACGGTGGCAACAGCCGTAACCGGTGGATTAATGCTTCCAATAATCGTCCCAACTGTATTAGCCGCATTCACTGCCGTTCAAACTTCATCTTGTGGTTTGATTACTTTAGGTTTTACAAAACAGAAAGCTCATTATAAAAGGAAAACAAAAATTTTAAATACATATCTTAATAAATTATTCATTTTTTTCGAAAGATCGAGAGAGGATAAGAACATAACCATTGAAGAATTAGAAGAATTCAATGAAATTTTAGATAAATTTGATGTAGAAATATCATCAATAAAAGTTAAAATTCCTAGTTAAAAATAGTTGCTTTAAAAATAGTTGCTTTAAAAATATGAATAAAATTGATAAATTTATATCAAGTGATCTTTTTTCCAATGTTATAGAGCATATCGCTGACTAATTTTTATCATTTAACGGACAAATTGAATTAGATGGAAAGATAACTCCAGATGGAAAATACATACAAGACATAAAATTTGTAGGTTTTGATACCATGACTTTTGTCGATTTCTTCATGGCGCTGGATGGTAAATCGGATATTTCTCATTGGTATTTCACAGAAAAAATGATTTTCCATAAAAACAATTTCAAAGAGTAGTGGTGTTCTTGTGGATTGATTAAAGCTCATTATAAAAGGAAATTTTAATAAATTATTCATTTTTTTTTCGAGACAAGAACAGTTAAAAAATTCCTAGTTAAAAATAGATACTTAAAAAAGTATGGATAAAATTGGAAATTTAAACGAACCATTATCTAAAACATATTTTTCATTGATATTCAATTCAATACCTAATATATTTTCAACCAAATTTAGTGAAAAAGATAAAGAAGAATTTAAATATATAATTGATGATGTAGCTGAAGTTTTTAAAAAAGAGGAGAATGAAATTAAAATATCAACCTCAATTATGCTTTTTTCAGAATTAATCAAGAGAATAACTATTCTATTTAAGGATTATAAAATTAAAGGCCAAATTGAAATAAATGGTCAAATAAATCAAAAAGGAAAACACAAACAATACATGAGATTATCTGGATTCAATGCTCAAACTTTCCAGTTTATTTATTCAAAGATGCATGAAAGCTCTGATACATCTGATTGGTATTTTACAGGAGAGATTATTTTGCGCAAAAATAATTTTAGAATAGTAGAAAGATCAAAAAAGGGAAGTGGTGTTAACCTACTTAAAAAGATAAATGAATACATAGGAAAAAATTGTTACATACCAACCGATTGTTATTGTTTTATAAAGTGTGTAAATTACATCACAAACACAGATTTAACAAAGGAATTTCAAGATTTCATCAACAGTTTTCAAAAATCAAACAGAAAAGGAGTTATGACAACTGCTAGAATCTCTCAATTCAATAAGAAATTTAATACTAATTTTCAAATCTATAACCCTAAAGACAGTCATTTTCAACCAAAGAAAGTATTAGAGGAATTTGATTGGGTATTTTATTTACACAAAGAACATTTCTGTTTGATAAGAAGAAATAACAAAGCTTTGGGCATTAAAGAAATAGAAGATAATTACGATGAAAATGTATGGAGAACTTGTAAAGATGATGACGCTGTAAAGTGTTTCGCACAGTTAAAACTAAACGTGTTTTCGAACATATCCGATAACTGTTTATACGCTTGGGATTGCGAAACCTATTGCGAAAAAGAAACGAATAAATCCATTCCTTATTCTTATTGTTGTACTTTAGTTAATTTAGCAAAAACTGAGGAAAAGATTAGATGATTATAATAATTACTTAAGTGATTTAAGTGAGACTCTAGATTTTAAGCCGTCAGATCCCATTACAGAAGAATATTACAACATACTCATGACTAATATAGTAGAAATATTTGTAGGTACAGATTGCATAGATCAAATGTTACAACGTTTAGGAAAAGTAGATCAGAAAAGACTAACCTTAATTTCCCATAACGGAAGCGGTTTTGACAACTGGATTGCACTTCAAAACGTTAAAAAACTAACACAATGTCCACTAGTAGTAGATAGTAAAATTCTTTCTCTTCCTTTATCTAATCCATATACAGAAGAAAGATTGCAGAAAAAATGGAAAAGACAGAAAGAAATAATGAATTTATGAAAGATCACCAATGTTAATATTGCAAAATTCACAAAAGAAACCTGGGAATCTTTAAGACCCAAATGGGAATCTTACGCTAAAAGAGATACATTGTGTCTCGGAGCTTGTTTGATAAAATACAATCAAGCCATGAAAAAAACTGTCTTCCAAAACGTTTCCAATAATCTAACGGCTCCTTCTTTATCTTTAAAGGGTTGGTATTATTTATATCATTACGATAAAGAAATGGTTGAAGAAGAATGGTATGAAACACACCCAAAAAGAAAACGTAGAAAAAAGTTACTCGCATACTCACCCTTTTATAAGATATGTTATCAGACAAAGTATTAAAGGAGGAAGAGTTTCGGCAAATCGAAAATCATTTGAAACGGATAAAATGAATGAGATCTGCGCCATATTAAAAGAATACAATGAAAGTAACACTGAAGGAATAATAGATTTATTCAAAGAATACAGTGTTAACCCAAAAGATAAAACGAAAGTCCACGCTAAACTCAAAGAACTGGACTATTCTAAACTGATGGCTTTTGACGCTAATGGGTTGTACGCTTCCGCCATGACAGAAGGTGAATATCTTAAAGCGGAAAGTGCAAGAGCGTTTCTACCAGAAGAAGAAAAAGAATTTGTAAAACTCTTCAATAAACAAAAATTCAGACCTAGAACTGCTATTTTAAAAGTCTGGTTTGAATATCCCAAAAACATGTTCTTTCAACCCATACCAGCTAAAGATAAAATAACTTTTACGAATAGAATAGGTCAGAAGGAAACTGGGAGTAAAATCAGGTTCAGAAATGGTTTCTGTCACGACGTTTTAACATCGGTTGATATTCCAGAAATAGTGAAATCCGGTGGTAAAATTATTAGAATATTAGATGGTATAGTTTACGAAGAAAATTTTAAAACTCCACCATACAGAGATTATATTTTAATTTTGAAGGAATTAAGGAATAAATACAAAAAGGAAGGAGATATGGTTGCTAGTAATTGCATGAAATTATTAGGCAATTCCTTATACGGTAAAGCTATTCAGAAGGATATAAATACATCGAGACATCTATGGAGTGAATCGACTTTTAAAGCCAACTTCGATTCACACGTCAAAAGCTATGATAAAGTAAATGATAGTCAATATATCGTTCAGATTAATGACGAAGTAAAAGAGTTTGTTCCTCCAAAGGATTTTACTAGATTAACACCCACGCATTTAGGTGCATTTATATTATCTCACAGTAAAAAAATAATGAACAATTTCATTCACGTAATAGATGGATTTTATAAGCCGGAAATATACTATACAGATACCGATAGTTTATACATTTCGTCTAGTAATTGGGATAAATTAAAGGAAAGGAAAGAATGATTACGGTGATGGTGGAATCATATTTGGTTTATATTTAGCGCCAAAAGTAAAATACAATATCATTCTAACTTCCGATGGTGTTTTAAAAGAAAATAAAACGTTTAAGGGTTACTCTAACTATAAGATTAAGTTAGAAGACTACATTCAATTAGCTAGTGGACATGACGTAACGAATGAATTTGATAAACCTTGGGTAAAAAGTTTTACTGATGGAATAGTTATTCCCAATGAAAAACAAAAGAAAGTTTTCAGAAGTTATCTGAATCTCGTTAAGAGAAAAGCACCAAACAGTGAAGGAATTATGTATCCTTACAACAATAAAGATGAGATGTGTTTGGATGATGATTATGTATTTGATGATTTTGATTATTTTACAAATGAATCTAATGATGATCCATCAGAATGAATCTAATGATGATCCATCAGAATAAATTTAATTTTTTTGTTTTAAATGAAGTTGAATAACAATTTCCTCGTTACCAAAATCTATAAACCTATTTTTACCATCTTTGATTTCCAGATTTATATCTTTAATCATAAAGGAATTAAGTGGTAAATACGTTGTTTGAAATGGTTTCTCTATAATTCTATATCCAATCGGTACAGTGAATGTTGGAAGACTGTAAATAATCTGACGTTTGTATTTATTGAAAAATCCACCGTTTATGTATATTTATCACATCGATATCATTCTCGATATTAGCTTTGTGTGGTGCTAAAGTGGATTGGGTGTATATTTTTTTTATCAAATCCTAGTAAAGTATTCAATGAATTTTCTACGTTGAAATCAACTTGACTATTATTTCTTAATATCAATTTTATTTTGTTCAGATTCAAATTACCTTCGAATTCGATATTGTTTTTACCATTGACGCTTCCTGCGTATTCAGATAAGTATTCGTTAATGGCTATGTATTCATAGCTTCCTGGTAGTAAACGTATGGTTTTGAACGTAACTCCGTTATCTGTTGATATTTTTATTTGGTTATTTTTTTCGTTGATATTTCTAATGGAATTGTAAACAGAGAAATACTTTAATCCCAATTCATATTCTTGATTGCGATCGAGTTCGTACTCATAATCTATAGACAATTTGATGTCTGATTTATTCGAGGTGATGACGAATAGTTGTTCTTTATTTGACATTTTTTATTACGCTTTTATAATCATTTTTATCTATGATACCTTTTTCTAGGAGTCTTTTTAGTATACAATTTACTTCATTATATTGTCTGTGCGATCGATGGCCTTCCTTCATTGCCGCTAATATTAGTCGTAATCTATTAAGCAATTCTTCGTTGTTGTCGGATAAAAACGTTATACCTTCTCCAGATACCATATCTTCGAATTCGTCTATTTCTTGTATGATTGGTGGATAATCTTCTGCATAATCATCTGATTCCTCTTCATCAGGAATAACTTTATTTAAATATGTTTCAACTGTTTTAAATCTTCTTGATTATTGCATGTAGAAATTTTGAGTATGCTAGTAAATCGGCAGTGCCAATATACCCGCCATTCATTAAATCTATTAATCCTGTCGTTAATGTAAATATTAAGTTTTTTGTGTCGATTTTGAATATAGGGGAATTTGCCCTAAATTTAATTCTAAATCCATTAAACAATAACCCCTCATCATCAATGATTGGTGTAATACTCTTTGGTAAATCTGCTTTAGGGTTTGAAAAAAGACGATTTATATCATCTATTGTCCTAATTATAATACCATCATATTCAATCGCTTTGGGAGGTTCTATAGGAGCTATGGGTTCTATAGGAGTGATGAGTCTCTTTTTAATACCCTCTTGAGATTTTAAAATGGGTTGAAATAGAGTTTGTAGATTTTCCGTTAATCCAAGTTGTTGTAATTTGTTATTTTCAACTTGGGTCTTTATGTTATTCTTAGCTTTGACATATTCTCTATTTCTTTTTAAAATATTATTCCAATCGTCGATTATAACTCTTTCACCTGCAGGTTTTCTAGTATTTACAAATACATATCCATAGTCATCTGGGTTTTTCCATTGAGCTTTACAAACCTTTTTAAATGCATCTCTGTCCATTCCGTGATTTATCGACTGAATGATTTGAGATAAATCTTTGTCGTTTAATTCAAATAATAAAAAACAATTTGCATTTTTTCTAATGAACATAGAATCCATCCCGTAAAAAGATTGGGATTGGTATATGCAGTGACAGTTGTGATGTCTTCCTTACGTGAAGAATTCTTGTTGAACAGCTTGAATTTCTTTGCGCCACGCAGTCGTCAAACACTAGTAAGTTCTTTCGCTCGCTATCAATTTGAGACAAATCTAGATCATTAACATTTTTCGCAAGAAAAACTTTTATATCCGTTGGTTTCTTTCCTTCGATGTAGTTATCTATGAAATCTTTCAATTCCACTTTTTCTTCGTTTTCTTTGTAATATTGAAATAGGTCTTGAACATCTCTCTTTGGTAGATATTCTAAAGCTTTGAGAAATTGATAATACGATTGCTCTGGTGTTGTTGTGTAGATATACAAAGAATCGAAATCTAAAAGGTTTGGTGTTGTCAACATGTTAAAAGTGAGATGAGTTTTCACATGAGCATTGGGTTATTAGGAAATATTTGTGAATGATTAAATTTTTTACCCATTTTTTATTATTTTAATTTGTTCCAAAAATAACTCCTTTTCCTTTATACTTCGCAAGATATATTCCTTCTCCAGTGCGTATATTTTTTAAAAATATACCATTACCCTTATGCTTGACTTTGATTTCTCCTGTGTCAATACTATCTACTAATTTATTTAATCCTTGTTTAACAGTTTTCTTGGTTTCTTCCCTAAATCTTTTTCCAAATTCTATTATTGTGCCTATCATTTCCCCCACTCCTGAACCTTTCTTTTCCGTTTTAGGTTTTTTAACCTCTGCTGCCAACTTTTCCATTACTAAATTGTGTCTACGTTCTTCGGCTGCTTTCTTTTCATCGGCAGCTTTTGTAGCAGCAGCTTTTGCAATAGCAGCTTTCTTTTCGTTGGCAACGCTTTCTCCACCAGCTGTAGCACCAGCTACTGTACCGGCTGCAATAAGTCCACTAAATATTAAAGGAAGGAGAGGTAAAAATCCACCTTCTTTTGCATTTGCTTCAATTCTTTCTAAGTCTATATCGTCTCTGACTTTACAATATTTATATTTATCAATAAGTTTTTTAGTTATGCTGATTTTTTTTCCATTATAAGTTATTGTAGTTGGTGAAGCTGTTTCTATAGCTTCTATTATTTTCTTGACTAAAGTTTCTGGTTTCATTTTTAAAGGTATATTTTTTACTCAATTCTTATCATTCTTCTATCTGCTATTTTAATTAAATGTTTTGCTTCTTCCAATAATAAACAATAACCTGTTACACCTCCTTCAATGTGTTTTTTCAATATGAATATTTATGTTCACTCCTGTTTTGAAAAGATCTTCTTGGTGAGCTGAAAGATCAAAACAGAAGATTGGATGATTAAGTGCAAAATCTACATATTCAAACTGAGGTAGATTTCCGAATAATTCACACATATTTTTATAGTTTCTATACAATTCATTATAATCCTTTGTGGTTGGATTAATTGTTAAAGGTTGGTTAGGCTAATTATTGTTTGTTTGTTGTTTGTGGTACTTGATTCTGAGTGGCGTCTTTGAAATAAGCATCGGAAAGAAGCAACCAATTCGATAATGAATTTATTTCGAAGTTAATTCTACCATCATCATTCAATTGGGATTTAGAACCAACAGTGGGTGAGATGATAATATAATCCTCTTTTTTCTTGTTAAATGAATGACGAATTGGATCGTATAATCTAAAGATTGGATCTAGTATTTTATTTGCCATTTTTAAGGTTTAAAATTTGAGTAGAAAATTTTAATATGCTTTTTTGATGGAATGTAGAAAATTGATTGAAGGTGTTTTTAGTGTATGAAATGTAGGGAATTGAGGTCTTTTGCTGTAAGAATTTATGAAATGTAGGGAATTTATGAAATATAGGGAATTTAGGTCTTGTTTTTTCGGGAGTTCATAGATTGTTTGGATTTTTCCCATGAAATGAAATGGAATGTGGAATATCGGCCCTAGCTTTTTCGAAGAGGTTTTTAGATCGCCATTTGGAATATATTGCTAAACGATCAGGTGAATGTTTTGGTTCGCTTTATTGAATGTATTGTGCAAATGTATCCGTTGAATGTTTTGAGCAAAGTTGTCGGTTGTATGTATTCTGTAAATTTATCAGATAACTGTTTTAGTTAAATATATTAGTTGAATGTATTGGGTAAATTTATCAGTCGAATGTATTAAGTAAATTTATCAGTTGAATGTAGTGAGTATAATCAGTTGTATGTATTGAGGAAATCGTTTGGTTGAATGTTTTGGTAACTTAATATACCGGTAATTCAAATTCATGTAATTTATTCCACAGATCCTAGATCAAAAACAATTTCTTGTGAACAATCTGGATATCAGGAAGGTTTAGACACTGGTATTGGAATTGGTATTGGAATTGGTATTGGAATATCTGCTGTTATTGTAATTCTGGTTATACTGACAATATTTATATATAGAAAATATCATCCAGGTATTGGTTAGAAATATTAATTTTGTTTTGAGGATTATTCTATCATAACATTAAAGAGATATAGCCAATTTCAGTTACCCTTGTCTCTTTTCAGAATTACAATTTGTCTACATTCTGCCAGAATGGTAGCATTTAAAAACCATTTATAAAACTTCAAATGAACAAGTCAGTCAAGTTTCGTATTTCAATTCAGAAAAGTTAAAATGATTATTTGAAATTTGTCAGTTGCTATAATAAACTCGTAAACTTCTTTATAAAATTAATCTAATTATTTTGTAGCCAATAAGAAACTACCAGAAGAAAGGTGAGTTATATTTTCTTTCCTGATCTGGAACCTCTATTCCATTAGATCTACTTAAAGCGAATCCTGATGATGATGTTCTTGTCGAAATTCATTTCAATTTATAGCAACGATCATTAAGTCTATTCACACAAAGAATGTCAGCCGCAGACTGGTTGATTAGGTACAGAAATTCTTATATCAAAATGTCGTTTTGAGAAGTTGTGATCAAAACTCATAAAAACATATTTGCTCATTTTACTTATGACATATTCTTACTTTTCAGTTATGCAACGTTTTCTAATAGAAATCCTGAAGGTAAATAAGATCACATATTATCATGAATTTATCATAATTTACACATTCAGTATGACTATCAATACTATACCCAAAGCGGTCCACCATTCAAGTTCTGATAACGTTCTTCAACTTCACGGCGGAAACTGCCGAGAGTCGCCAAATGTCAATCTCCAAAGATTTTAATTTTTATTCTAATTTATTAGTTATTATACACGCTATTTTTCCTTACAGATAGAACATATGAAGATTTAAACACTCGTCCTGAAGTTAACGATAACAATCAACATAATTCTGGAGATGCAAAAGAATATGAAAATATGAGAAGAAATTAAATATAACATACTGTAACATCTGTTCAGAAATTAACAGTTCTTTGCACATTCCAAAATGCCGTCTGGAAGCAATGAAAAGAACGATTAAATACAGAGCAGGTTCACTTTGGAATTCGTTACCCAATCTCTTAAATTGTCCTCTGAATTATGCTATTTTAAAGGTTGACTAAAGAAGAAACTGGTACCTAGTTCAAATTAAATTTTTTGAAAAATTCATTTTATATTCTATTTTATTTTTTCATCATAAAATTCATACTTTGTATCACTTTGATCATTTTTCACGATATTGATAATATTTTTCCTTGTATATATATATATATATTAATTCTAGTTAGATAGTGGATGTAGTAGAAAATGGATTTCTATCTTCTGCTGTTATCTCTCAAGGTCCATTTGATAGCATTTTTCATCGTAAGATAAATATTATTTCTCATCTTAAAATTCATGCTATTTTGTAAAATTTCTATCTGTATATATGTTATTTGTACGCAAATCACTAGGCCACCGTGACCTAGGGTTAGAGAGTGTTAACGCTAATTTTGAAAAATCAATTGGGGTTAGCTCAGAACAGTGTTAGAGCTTGTTATAGATATGGTTTCCGCATATTAAATGAAAAACTCTTAGTTGCGCATCTTCTCAATACAAAATGGTCTAGAAAAAAGAATAACACAGGGTTTTACAGTAAAACACAAAGAGTCTACTTTGTTAGGTAGTGTAAGAAGTTATGAACACAATAAGTCTGCCTTTTGTAGTATCTATTTATTCTACCCCAAAATAAAGTGGACTGATTGTTAAAGATTCAAATTTTACCCCGACGTGCAAAAATATCTACATAATAATAAAGATTAGACCACATTCAATAGTTTCTTTATAATGGGAAACAACTTTATTTATTATGTGGACTCACTCCACTAAAACATTTTATGCAAATGATTGTATGAATGTAGTCCAGGCTATTTTTAGAAATCTTCTTTCTCTCTCCCTTTTTGGGTTTTTGCATGCCTATTTTTGGGTAAAATTTGGTCTAGATTTGGAATTTGATGTCTGAAATTGCATTATCTTTCAGATTTGGTGAGATGATGAGAGACCTAAAGGCGGAAGACTAATTCTAAAAATAGTCGTTTTGTGAATTTGCCAAACTCTAGCGGATGAGTATAACCGGTAGTAGTCTACTTTCAATTTTAGTAGCTCAAAATTTTCATGGTCATCATATAATGAATTTTTTAGGAGACATTGAGAATTGGTCAGGCTTTCATTCGACATATTGGAAAGCTTTCAACGAGATTTCTGGAAAAAGTTATAGAAGGTTGAATTTCGTGTTTTAACATGAGAAGAGATGGCAAATGAATTTGTGGAGTGAGTCCATATGAGTGAGGTCTGCCAATCAGAATAAACAGAATAAATCAGAAATAAGAATTGTAGTGTCAGAACAAATTCCATTGTCCATCAATGCGTTGTTGGTTTTATCAGGTTAAACGCACATTGTGAGCTTTCTATCTAATCTACGTGCTGATGGTGGGCTCTGTTCAACCGCTTTATGGGCTCTCGGGCCTTTTGTGTTGTTAAAGTTTTGATATAGCTGGGCTATAAGCACCTCAGAGGCACCAGAGAAGTACATGCGGTCCCTATTTTAACGTAATATTTTAGTGATAACAAAACCTTTTGTCAATAGCCAAACAATTTTAGGATTTTTGTAGGTGTTTTGAATGACCGACTGTACTCTGTTGTTGAGATCTTGGGTTATTCTGTAGTTAGTATACAGGAGATAATATATAATATAATTTATCGGGATAGAGTGAGTCTAAAAAAGTTTGTAACCGAGAATCCAGTTTATCAAGAGAATTCTCTCCGACGCGATTACTATCTAAACATTAAATACAGTAGTATTTATCTAGGTCATGTAAAACCATAATATATAGTATGATATCAAAGTATTGAGGTACAGGGAATCTAAAAAGTTGATAATCGATTCCAGTGTTTCTCAAGAGAACTCTCTCTGATGTGATACCATCTAGGCATTGCTAAAATATTGTACTATGTATTTAGGTCATATCTAAAAATAATTTAGCATACATGTGTGTTTTTATATTTAAAAGAGGAAGTAAATTAGAGCCTTGTTATAAAAAAAAACTATACACTAGTAGACCAAATATATGACAAGAGAAGATAGTCTTGTTGAATATTGATCAATAACATGGAGTTTAAATATATATTGATACTAATAGTTATAGTTTATTTACCAGTACTAATTACAGGTAAGAGTTGCATTTACATCTTCTGATATATATCATCTAAAAGACCACTTTCGTGTATAAGACAAGTCTTTATGTAGAATGAAATGATATAACTTGCACTAAATGCATATATAATAATATAATAAGATAACATGAATCGCACTGTGAACTTAGACTTGACCTATCTTTATGATTGATATTTAACCTTTATCTTCACAATCTTTTAACAATATGGAATCTTTATTAAAATAATGGATACAATTATTTGATAGGTATAATAGTGGCCTTCTTTTTTACATTATAGATTTGTAAATTGAAACAAATCTGTAAGGATTCTTTGTTGAGAGGCCGAATGATTCGTTTATACTAAAATATTCGGTATTGTTTAGATTGGCAGTTGGTAAAATGGTTGAATTCAGAATTTACTGATGGAATGATTATATAAACTAATATAAATAATAGAAAATTTAAATGTGTGACCAGAAATTAAAATGAAAGGTAATAATAACTAGAAGTTGTTTTAATAACATATTATTTATATTACAGGTCAATATACTATAAGAGGAGTTTCTGAAAGTTATGCAGTGTTAGGTGAAAATTATAGATTAGAATGTGATATTACAGATTCACCTGGCATTGTAGATTTTCGTAGAAATAAGATTGCTTTAGGTACTATATTGTCTCAAAGCTGTCTGGGTGGAATTAATGATAGATATACATATGGATGTATAAATAATAACAACAAACAACTATATCTCAATATAAGTAATATAAATAAACAAGATGATACAACATGGTCTTGTAGAGGTAATTCTGGTGGACAAGGATCAACTACTATACTAGTTTATTGTAAGTTTATTTACATTACAACTTATTTCAAATGAAAAATTATTGTTACAAGCATTTTGATCGTTACATTTACATAGTCTTTGATGAGTCGTTCTTAAATAGACAAATGTTCAATTCGTACAATAATCAAGTTAGTGTTACTGTACTTGTGACAGTTGTAATACTTCAAATTTAGATTTTGGCGAACAAAATAATGTTTATTATTAAGAACAGAACAGAATCTTTCAAAAACAGCGCAAACAGTGTGGACATAAAATAAATTTTGTTTCAGATCCACCTGATATAACCAGTATAACATCCGATGCTGTAAATTACACAGCTGATGATGGTTCTGATGTTATATTTAACTGTAATGTTGATAGTAAACCAGTATCTACTATAACCTGGTCATCTTCTACTAGTACTGACACTAACACTGGTCAACAGTGGACATTACCTCAAGCTAAATGTCAGGATACAGGAATCTATACATGTACAGCTAATAATGGTATTGGTCAATCAACTACTAAATCCTTATCATTAGATATTAGATGTAAGTTTGTATTTAGTCAGTATACTATAATCTATACATGTACAACTGATAATGACATTGGTCAGTCAACTACTAATTTAGTCAGTATACAGCTAATGGTTTTAGTAGGACATCTACTAAATCCTTGCTATTATTACATGTAAGTCTCCGCACATGGTGCAAAAAAGTAGGACTCCATTTATTTCATTGCATTTAGATGTAAGTTGATATCAATTAGTCAGTCTACTATAATCTATACATAAACAGCTCATAATGGTATTGGTCAGTCAACTTCTAAACTTTTACTATTAAATATCATTTTATTTGTTTTAGGTTCACCAAGAATTAATGGTGATTTAAAGGATGAAGTAATAAATAGACTAGGTGAAAAAGTAACATTAATTATTGATGTTATAGCCTATCCTAAACCTAGTTTTAAATGGATACAAGAATCAACAGGACAAGAATTAACACCAGATACAACTCAACAAGTAGCTACCAATAATTATATTTCAAGTTTAACATTCACAATACAACAATCATCATTTGGTAATTACACTGTTACTGTTAATAATGGTAAAGGTTGTGATAAAAGTTACACTATAAAAATTATTGATGGAGGTAAGTTCCTAAATTATCGAATTCAAGTTTGATTGGATTGAATGAATTTTTAAGAATTTATCCTGGTTTTCGAATAATTTTGAATATTGAATATAAGTATATATTGTATTGTATATATATTTTTTAGTTGAATGTTTTTGGTAACTTATATACCGATAAGTCAAATTTATTTAATTTATTCCACAGATCCTGGAACAAAACCGGTTTCTGTTGAACAATCTGGATATCAGAAAGGTTTAAGCACTGGTATTGGAATTGGTATTGGTATTGGAATATATCTTGTTTGTGTATTTCTGGTTTTACTGACAATATTTATATATAGAAAAGATCATCCAGGTATTGGTTATACTGTACTTATCATAAATATTTTGGGGATCTTTAAAACAGAACCATATACTGCTTTCAATATCTAATTTTACATTATTTTCTTTTTTAGCCAATAGGAAATTACCAGAAGAAAAGTGAGTTACATTTTCTTTTTTGATCTGGAACTTCTAAACCATTGACCAACTATAGGGGAAATAAACATTTTAAATCTATATAGCTATTATGCTGATGATGATGCTTTTGTCGAAATCCAAGTCATTATATAGTAACATTTTTAACTGCAGACTGGTTTGGAAGAATAGAGAAGTTTAAATCATTATATCAAAATGTCGTTTTTAGAAGTTGTAGTCAAAACTCATAAAAACATATTTGTTAATTTTACTTATGACATATTCTTACTTTTCAGTTATGCAACGTTTTCCAATAGAAATCCTGAAGGTAAATTTTCACACATTTCAAGAATTTATCATTATTTACACAGTCAGTATAACTATCAATACAATACCCAAAACGTGCTAGTTCTGATAGCGCTCTTCAGCTTTACGGCGGAAACAGCCGAGAGTCGCCGAATGTAATTTTATTCTAAATTATCAGTTTTTATGCACGCTTTTCTTCCCTACAGGTAGAACATATGAAGATTTAAATACACATATTTCTGGAGATGCAAAAGATATGAAAATATGAGAGGAAATTAAATATAACAGACTGTAATATCTGATACAGTACTAGTAATATCCAATACTAACACATTAAATATAACAGACTGTAATATCTGATACAGTACTAGTAATATCTAATACTAACACATTAAATATAACAGACTATATTATCTGATACAGTACTAGTAATATCCAAAACTAACACATTTAATATAACAGACTGTAATATCTAATACAGTACTAGTAATATCCAATACTAACAAATTAAATATAACAGACTGTAATATCTGATACAGTACTAGTAATATCCAATACTAACACATTAAATATAACAGACTGTAATATCTGATACAGTACTAGTAATATCCAATACTTACACATTAAATATAACAGACTGTAATATCTGATACAGTACTAGTAATATCCAATACCAACACATTATATATAACAGACTGTAATATCTGATACAGTAATAGTAATATTATTATGTATGCTTTAAATAAATATATGAAATTTGTAGATTAAAAAATTTCCCTCTGTTATTGTATTTATGTATATGCTCTTACTTTGGCAACTGTTTTATTAATATATTTTTATATAATTAATTTATTCTTTTTTACTATTCGTTTGAAACTATATATTTTCCATTTCTGTAATTTTTAAATGTATTTATGATTTATCTTTGTTATGATTCTAGTTTAACATTGAATGCTTATGTATTTATATTTAAATTCTATTATTTTTCTTGTTTTTTTTATATAAAAATAAATAAATCAGAATTCAGTTTCTTTTTCTCTAAAACTCTATATTTATGTCTTTCTCTATAATTCTATATTCATGTCTTTCACTATAACACTTTATTCATGTCAATTTTTATATTTACTTTTTTTTTGTTTCATTTTGTTTAAGTTTATATGATATGTCGAGCAAGGATATTTGTGCTTATTGCGATTCGATTCCTGGTAAGTGCAACAGGAGATAAGGTATAATAGTGATAGGGTACAAAGTGTCCAAAAAGTTTGTAACCGAAATTCCAGTCTCTCTCTGAAGTGATACCATCTAGGTATTGCTACAATATAGTAGTATGTATTTAGGTCAAGTTATACAATAATATATAGCATAATATAAAGGTATTTACAAGTGTAAGAGGAAGTAAATTATAGCCTTATAATAAAACACTACAATCTAGTAGGCCAAATATATGACAAGAGAAGATCGTCATGTTGAATATTAATCAATAACATGGAGTATAAATATATATTGATATTAATAGTTATAGTTTATTTACCAGTACTAATTACAGGTAAGAAATGTATTTTTCTTGTATTTATTTCTTATCATAAACATCTTTAAGACAAGTCTTTATTTCTTATGATAAACATCTTTAAGACAAGTCATTTTGTAGAATGATGCATACAATACAATATAATATAATATCATATCATATCTCGAATCACACTGTGAATTTATACTTGACATTTCTTTACGATAGATATTTGACTTTTACCTTCACAGTATTTTAACGATATAGAATCTTTAATATAGTACATGGGTAAAATCATTTAATAGGTAGTTGCCTTCATTTTGATAAGCTTTATATATCTTAATATATAAAAACTATATCACGATTTTATATAGAGGGGTAAAATGATTGGTTCATTCTAAAATAGTCATCATAATATCACGTTTTTACTAACTAATGTAATTTTGATCGGCTTACAGTATTACAACCTTTCAAAGGTTCGGTACCAAACTTTGATAGACAGTTGGTTGATAAATTGGTTGAATTCACAAATTACTTATGGAATGATTTTATCTAAACTAATAAACAATCGAAATTTGAAATATTGAACCGAAAAATAATTTTGTGAGCTGAATTTAAAATGAAAGTTATAAGTTGTTTAATTATCATATTGTTTATATTACAGGTCAATATACTATAATAGGAGTTCCTGAAAGTTATGCAGTGTTTGGTGAAAATTATACATTACAATGTAATGTTACAGATTCGCCTAGTCTTGTAGATTTCCGGAGAAACAATGATGTTGTATGTACTATGATAAACTGTGGGAGTCAACCAATAGATAATAGATATAAATGTAGATGTATAAATAATAACAACAAACAACTATATCTCAATATAAGTAATATATATAAACAAGATGATACAACATGGTCTTGTGGTGATGATAACAACAGAGGATCAACTACTGTATCAGTTTATTGTAAATTGATTTTCTATCAAATAAAAAAAAATCTTATATGCATTCTGTACGTAACATTTACAGATATAGTCTTTAGATATGTCATTCTTAAATGTTAAATTCGTGTAACAAATAAGTTTATTCTATTTAACAGTTTAATCCTTGACAAAACTTCTTGGCATTGGCCTTTACTTGATTATCCGTACCTAAATAGAACTTGGTCGAATAGAATAATGAGGAAAAATTACTTTTACGACCCACGACCATACTATTTAAAGTAACTAACCAAACTTTTTTTTTCATGAAGCATCAGAATTGTTCTTGATTATTTTCTTTGAAGCATTGTTTGTTTCACGTCAACTGGTGAAAAGAAATACTAGAATTATCAAATTATGATTTTTACAGATGGTCCAGAGAATATAAAATTTAACCCTACTAGTGATAATATTGATGTTATAGAAGGAAAGAGTCAGAGTGTCAACTGTTTAGCTGATTGTAAACCAGATTGTAACATCAACTGGTCTAAAGATGGCTCAACAACAATTCTAAACAACCCTTTATCACTTAGTACTAGCGATCAAACTGGTTCTTATAACTGTACAGTTAGACATACTGTATTAAATAAACAACTTACAAAACAACTTAATGTTCAGATTTATTGTAAGTATATTAAATTACAGGTCTAACTGATGTAACAGGTATTAATATAACAGAAGGTAGAGATCAAACTAAAACATGATTAACTTACTGTTATTATTTCAGATGGTCCTGATGAACTTACTTTCTCATCAGATGTAACAAGTATCATTATAACAGAAGGTAGAGATCAAACTAAAACATGATTAACTTACTGTTATTATTTCAGATGGTCCTGATGAACTTACTTTCTCACCAAATGTTACAAGTATCAATATAACAGAAGGTAGAGATCAAACTATAACATGTTTAACTGATTGTTATAAATGTAATTATAAATGGACTGGGCCAGTTTCATCATCAAGTAAAGATCTTGTATTGACTGAAATAAAAAGAAATCAGGAAGGAAACTATAGATGTGAAGCTACCAATATTAAAAATACCAACCCTAAAACAAGATCACAATCTATACAAGTTAATGTACATTGTAAGTATATATATTTTACATTAACAGACAATTTGTCTAAGTGTCATACAATCTTTGGGTTATTGGGGAATCGATTTTAGTTTTCCATAAAAGTCAGTCTGTGTGAGTAGTTTTCAGATCGTAATTTGGTTGTAATTGTTCGACAGAAAACAGTCGTTTTTCACCATTAGCTTCTTTTCTAACCCCATTGAAACTATCATAACGAATATTTTAAAATTTACCCCGTAAATTGGCACACAATGTCACTGTTGTGATAAGGTTTAAATGGTTTCGTTTTTCATGAAAAATATATTTTCTATTTTCCGTCTTTCAGATCCTCCATATATAACCAGTATAACATCAGATGCTGTAAATAACGAAAGTGATGAAGGTTCTGATGTCACATTTAACTGTAATGTTGATAGTAAACCAGTATCTAATATAACCTGGTCATCTTCTACTAGTACTAATACTAACAATAGTCAACAGTGGACATTAACTCAAGCTAAATGTCAGGATACAGGAATCTATACATGTACAGCTAATAATGGTATTGGTCAATCAACTACTAAATTACCGTTAAATATTAGATGTAAGTAATATTCAGTCAGTATGATATAATCTATATGTACATCTAACAATAGTATTGGTCAATCAACTTCTAAATCTTCACTATTAAATATTAGATGTAAGTATCTGTTTAGTAATTTAATTTTTACTATGAAGTTTGTTTTAGGTTCACCAAGAATTAATGGTGATTTAAAAGATGAAGTAATGAATAGACTAGGTGAAGAAGTTACATTAAGTATTGATGTTATGGCCTATCCTAAACCTAGTTTTAAATGGATACAAGAATCAACAGGACAAGAATTAACACCAGATACAACTCAACAAGTAGCTACCAATAATTATATTTCAAGTTTAACAGTCACAATACAACAATCATCATTTGGTAACTACATTGCAACTGTTAATAATGGTATAGGTTGTGATAAAAGTTACACTATAAAGATTATTGATGGGGGTAAGTTCCTAAATAGTCAAATTCAAGATTGGATGGAATTAAATTTTACGTCTGGTTTTCTTATCCTGAATGGTCCTAGAATATCGGTACTAACTTACTCGATTTTTAATTTCAAGAAGTTTTTAATATGTACAGATGGAACCGCGAATTGGAATATTTTGCATAATAAGTAAATCTATTAGTGTTGAATGTTTCGTGTAAATTTATCAGTTGAGTGTATTAAATAAATTTATGAATTGAAAGAATTGAGTAAATATATTTGTTGATTGTATTATTAGGAAAATTCATCAGTTGAATGTATTGAGTAAATTTATCAGATAATTGTATTAGGTAAATTCATCAGTTGATTGTATTGAGTAAATTTATCAGTTGATTGTATTGGGTAAATTCATCAGTTGATTGTATTGAGTAAATTTATCAGATAATTGTATTGGGTAAATTCATCAGTTGATTGTATTGGGTAAATTCATCAGCTGATTGTATTGAGTAAATTTATCAGATAATTGTATTAGGTAAATTCATTAGTTGATTGTATTGAGTAAATTTATCAGTTAAAGGTATTAGGTAAATTTATTTGTTGATTGCAATTTGTAAATTTATCAGTTTATTGTATTGAGTAAATTTATTAGTTAAATGTGTTAGGTTAAGTTATCAATTGAATGCATGGAGTAAATTTTTTTAGTTTAATGTATTGGGTAAATCTATCAATTGAATGTATTGAGTAAAATATATTAGTTATATACATTGAGAAGATTTTTAGTTGAAAGTTTTAGGTGAATATTTTTTGTAACTTATATACCGATGAGTCAAATTTATTTAATTTATTCCACAGATCCTGGAACAAAACCGATTTCTGAAGAAGAAACTTTATATAAGGAATGTTTAGGAACAGGTATTGGAATTGGTATTGGAATATCTGTTATGTGTTTATTGCTGGTTTTACTAACAATATTTATATATAGAAAATATCATCCAGGTATTGGTTATACTGTATTTACCATTAATATTAAATATGAAATGTTCCTTTAAGAATTAATCAATATATATATCTTAACATAAAAGAGATACAGTCAATTTCAATTACCCTTGTCAGAATTACAATTTATCTTAACCTTCTCCTACATTCTGCCAGAATTCTGTCAATATTAAACTTCTAATTTTTATTTAATTTATTGTGAATCGGGTGTCGTATTTCAATTCTGAAAAGTATTTGGGATAGTTGAAATTTAGTATTGTCAGTTGGTATAACAAATTCTTATTCTGCTTTCAATTTAAACTTAATCTAATTTTATATTATTTTATTTTGTAGCCAATAAGAAATTACCAGAAGAAAGGTGAGTTATATTTTCTCTCCTGACCTTGAACTTCTATTCCATTGACCTACTAAAGGGAAAATAAAAATTATAAATCATTCAGTCTTTCATACAATTTCAACTGCAAATTGGTTGAGTACAGAAGTTTAAATACTTATATCAAAATGACGTTTTTTTTTGGTCAAAACTCATAAAAACGTATTTGCTCATTTTATATATTCTTACTTTCCAGTTATGCAACGTTTTCCAATAGAATTCCAGAAGGTATATTATCACATATTATAATTAATTTATCACAATTTACACATTCAATATGGCTATCAATACTATACCCATAACGGCCCATCGCGCAAGTTTCGATGCAGCTTTACGTTGAAAACAACCGAAAGTCGCAGAATTTCAAAACCTAAAGATTGTAATTTTTATTCAAACTTATTAGATAGTATGCACGCTTTTCTTCCCTACAGATAGAACATATGAAGATTTAAATACTCGTCCTGAAGTTAATGATAACAATCAACATAATTCTGGAGATGTAAAAGAATATGAAAATATGAGAAGAAATTAAATATAACAGATTGTAAAATCTGTTCAGAAATCAACAATTCTTTACACATTCCAAAATGCCGTTTGAAAACAGTGAAAAGATCATTTAGATAAAGGACAAGTTCACTTTGGAATTCGTTATCCCAATCTCTTAAATTGTCTTCTGAATTATGCCGTTTTAAAGGTTGACAAAAGAAGAAACTGTTGCCTAGTTCAAATTGAAAAAAATCATTTTTTATTTTATTTTATTTTTTCATCATAAAGTGTATGCTTGTATCACTTTTCTTATAACTCTTTTCACCATATTCATGATATTTATATATATATATATATATATATATTAATTCTAGTTAGATAGTGTAATAGAAAATGGATTTCTATCTTCTGCTGTTATCTCTCAAGGTCCATTTGATTTTTCATCTTAAGATAAATATTATTTTGTAAAAAACATCTAATTATTTGCTCGCTCTTGTAATTATAATTTTTCACAATTTCACATAACAATGTTTCTATCAGTACATATGTTTTTTCTATGCAAACCACTAGCCCACCGAGACCTAGGGTTAGAGAGTGTTAACCCTAGGGTTTAGGTTTGGATCATTCATTCTTTAGCTGGGATGCGGATCGGATCGTTCTAATTTTATAAGAGTCTTGGATATACTTCTTGGATTAGTGTAGATCTCCAGTTATTGAATGTAAATAAATTATAGTTGATATCGACGAGTATTTCTTATCCTGCATCCTGCAAGTAGAGCCAAACATCAACAAGAACTTGTCTACAGTTAGACTTTTTTACAGTCGAACAGTGTCTACAGTTAAACCCGTTTACAGACCTGTTTACAAAGTAAAACGCACACTTTGAGCCTTCTATCTAATTGAACCTCGAAGTGGAGATGTTGGCGTCTGTTCAACCGCTTTATGGGCTGATGGCATTGGAAGGTGATCTCACCGGCTTTTTGTGTTGTTCAAGCTTTGATGTAGCTAGGCTACAAACACCTAAGGGGCACCGGAGAAGTAAATGCGAAACCTATTTTAACGTAATATTTTAGTGATAAAACTTTTTGTCAAATTTACCAAACAATTTTAGTATTTTGGTAGGTGTCTTGAATTACCGACTGCACTCAGTTGGGTTATTCTGTAGTAAGATACCAAGAGATAGTATATAATATAATTTATAGGGGTACTGTTTGTCTAAAAAGTTTGTAACCGAGATTTTAGTGTTTCTCACGAAAACCTCTTTGGCGTCCTTACGTTTCTAAAATACAGTCGTATGTATTTAGGTCATGTTAAACAATTATATATAGAGGTATTGAGGTACAGGGGGTCCAAAAAAGGACAACTATTTACATTCTCGCGTGCAATTATTACCAATATCAGGGCTTAATTAGTGAGGTTAATGGCAATACTTCCACGAAAGCGACCAATGTTTAAACTTCTAATGAACGTTGTATTTAATTGTAAGTGAATTGGGTGTCGTATTTTCATTCTGAAAAGTATTTGGGATAGTTGAAATTGAGTCTTGTCAGTTGGTATAACAAATTCTTATTCTGCTTCAATATAAACATAATCTAATGTTATGTTATTGTATTTTGTAGCCAATAAGAAATTACCAGAAGAAAGGTGGTTATATTTTCTTTCCTGATCTGAAACTTCTATTCCATTTGCCTACTAAATTGAAAATTAACCCTTAAATGCCCACCGGTACATATATCGTTGCTAGGCCAGCCACCGTAGTCTAAAAATAGAATTATTTTACCCTTTAACAGTTTGTTTACAAATATTAGCCTAGTCTGTGTTATCCAGGCACAATTTCATAACTATCAAGGGAGAATACTGAACTTGAACGGTTATAAAGGCAGGACTCACTCCACTAATTCATTTGCCATCTCCCATGTTAAAACATGAAATTCAACCTTCTATAACTTTTTCCAGAAATCTCGTTGAAAGCTTTCCAATATGTCGAATGAAAGCCTGAGCAATTCTCAATGTCTCCTAAAAAATGTCATTATATGATGACCATGAAAATTTTGATCTACTAAAATTGAAAGTAGACTACTACTGGTTATACTCATCCGCTAGAGTTTGGCACTTAACAAAACGACTATTTTTAGAATTAGCCTTCCGCCTTTAGGTCTCTCATCATCTCACCAAATCTGAAAGATAATGCAATTTCAGACATAAAATTCCAAATCTAGACCAAATTTTACCCAAAAATAGGCATGCAAAAACCCCAAAAGGGAGAGAGAAAGAAGATTTCTAAAAATAGCCTGGACTACATTCATACAATCATTTGCATAAAATGTTTTAGTGGAGTGAGTCCATAAGTAAGGCATGATTTACAATTTCTTATTATGTTTCTTCACCAAAATTATTATTTTAAAATTGATTTTGACTTATGGATTTGGTCTATAAACACAAAACATATGTCCTAGAACATCATGGCAGACTTTATTATGGAAATGGTAAAAAAAACGTTTTTGGGGAAACGCACAAAAAATGATGGTACATATATGGCACAATGGGAATTTGTAGTAAAATCTTATCATCAAAGTGTTTAATATCATCTTTTATTTCTCTGATTATAACTGGATTTATTTCAACTATTTCTTTTATTTCTCTGATTATAACTGGATTTATTTCAACTATCATAAGTTAATACTTTAAAATATAATCCATGTATATCAGCACCCCACCAATGACCCCTTCTGAATAAATTCTGCTGATATCGCAGCAGGTAGTTGAAATAGTTGTTGGTAGTCTTGGTAGTTGGATTGATTTTTATGAAGCAAATGCCCATTGTACCATATATCTACCAAACTCAAAAAGAGGACAAAGGTCATATTTTGAAAAAAAATTGCATATTATTTATGGGGGGGTCTATTTGAGATACAATTGGATAATAACCAATTTTTCCACCGTGCGCTTCTATATCTGAGCATTTAATGGTTAATAAATAAATAATTCAATCAATCATTCAGTCTTTCATACAATTTCAACTGCAGACTGGTTTGGTTGAGTACAGAAGTTTAAATACTTATATCAAAATGACGTTTTGGTCAAAACTCATAAAAACGTATTTGCTCATTTTATATATTCTTACTTTCCAGTTATGCAACGTTTTCCAATAGAATTCCAGAAGGTATATTATCCCATTTTATAATTAATTTATCACAATTTACATATTCAGTATGACTATCAATTCTATACCCATAACGGTCCATCGTACAAGTTCCGATGCCGCTTCACGGTGAAAAGAGCCGAGAGTCGCAGAATTTCAAAGCCCAAAGATTGTAATAACTAAATCATTAGTTATTATGCACGCTTTTTTCCCTACAGAAAGAACATATGAAGATTTAAATACTCGTCCTGAAGTTAATGATAACAATCAACATAATTCTGGAGATGTAAAAGAATATGAAAATATGAGAAGAAATTAAATATAACATACTGTAACATCTGTTTAGAAAATTCTTTGCCCATTCCAAAATGCCTTCTGGAAGCAGTGAAAAGAACGTTTAAATAAGAGGGCAAGTGCACTTTGGAATTCGTTATCCACATCTCTTAAATTGTCCTCTGGATTATGCTGTTTTAAAGATGGACTAAAGAAGAAACTGGTACCTTGTTCAAATTAACTTTTTTGAAAAAATTCATTTTTTATTTTATTTTATTTTTTTATCATACAATTCATACTTGTATGATAATTTTGTAATAACTCTTTTCACCATTTCATGACATTTCTCCTTGTATATAATATACATATATATATTAATTGTAGTAAGATAGTGGATGTTATCTCTCAAGGTCCATTTTGATAGTATTTTTCATCTTAAGATTCATACTATTTTGTGAAAAATATCTAATTTTGAAACATCATTTAGATTAGATTCAAATTGGACCAGGATGTGCAAAAATATCTACATGAGAATAAAGATTAGACCACATTCAATAGTTTCTTTATAATGGGAGACAACTTATTATTTGTTATAAAGGATTATGAGACAGTTTCTAGTAAAGTCAGAAGTCACTTTGAATTTCAAATTACAATATAACAATTGTGAGTGAGGTCTGCCAAACAAAATAAACAGATTATGAAAGGTGGTGGCACAACAAATTCCATTGTTCAATACTACTTTAATGGTTAAACACACCTTTTGAGCCATCTATTTGTTAAAAGAACGAAATATAACCATCTAATTGTTAATGATGGGTTCTGTAACTTATACTGTTTTATGGGCTGGTGGCACTGGAAGGTGATCTTCTCGGTCTTTCGTGTTTTCAGGCTTTGATGTAACATGGACTACAAGCACCTCAGGGGCACCAGAAAAGTACATGAAAGACCCATGAGTCAGTTTTAAACGTAATATTTTACTAATAACCAAACCTTTTGTCAAATTTGCCTAACATTTTAAGGATTTTGGTAATTGTCTTGAATTACCGAGTGCACTCGGGTAGTTTTTTGTTAAACTCTTGAGAGTTATTCTTTGGTAGAGATACCAGGAGATACTGTGTAACTTATTGGGGTACAAGGTGTCCAAAAAGTTTGTAACCGAGACTCCAGTGTTTCACACGAGAACCCTTTCTGACGTGATTACGGTAAAAAAAATTGTAACCGTA